ATTAATTTAATCTAATAGCCTAAGTCCTAACTTGTCATTTTCAACAATGCTCACAGCACCTTTACCAGGAGTAGATTCTCTCTCAAGAAACTCTTTGTTTGCTCATCCATAAGAAGCACCTCCTCATTGTTTTAAGTTTTATCATGAGGTTGCAGCAGTTCAGTTACATTTTCATGCTCCACTTCTAATTCTAGTTATTTGTTGTTTCCACCACATCTGCAGTTACTCCCTCCACCGAAGTCTTGAATCCCTCAAAGTCATCTACAAAGGTTGGGATCAGTTTCCTTTAAACTCCTGTTAGTGTGGATGTTTTGTCCTCCTCCTGAATCAGGATTTTTTTTTTTTTCAGACAATCTTGTTCTGTCACCCGGGCTGGAATGCAGTGGCATGATCATAGCTCACTGCAGCCTGGAACCCTGGGCTCATGCAGTTTTTCTGCCCCTGCCTCCCAGGTAGCTGGGACTACCAGCATGCATTACCACACCTGGCAAATTATTTTTATTTTTTATTTTTTATTTTTTATTTTTTGAGTCAGAGTCTCACTCCGTCGCCCAGTCTAGAGAGTGCAGTGCCACACTCATGGCTACCGCAGCCTCGACCTTCGTGGCTCAGATGATCCTTCCACCTCAGCCTTCCAAGTAGTTGAAACCACAGGCGTATACCACCACCCAGCTAATTTTTTGATTTATTGTAAAGACAAGGTTTCACCACGTTGCTCAGGCTGGTCTCGAACCCCTGGACTCAGGCAGTTCTCTGGCCTCAGCCTCCCAAAGTGCTGGGATTGCAGGCATGAGCCACCGTGCCCGGCTATTATTATTTTTTAAGACACAGGGTCTTGGCCATGCATGGTGACTCACGTCTGTAACCCTAGCACCTGCGGGGAGCCAAGGCAGGAGAATCACCTGAGCCTAAGAGTTCAAGACCAGCCTGAGCAACATAGTGAGACCTCATCTCTACAAAAAATACAAAAGTTAGTCAGGTATGGCCACCTGTAGTCCCAGCTACCTGGGAGACTGAGGCAAAAGGATCACCTGAGCTCAGGATGTCTTGGCTGGAATCGCATCACCACATTCCAGCCTAGGCAACTGAGTGAGACTCTGCCTCAAAAAAGAGAGAGACAGGGTCTCACTCTGTCACCCAGGCTGGTCCCAAACTCCTGACCTCAAGCGATCCTTCCTCCTCAGCCTTCCAAAGTGCTGCAGTTACGGGCTTAAGCCACTGTACCTGGCCATGAGTGTTCTTAATGGCATCTAAAATGGTGAGACCTTTCCAGAAGGCTTTTTGTTTTGCCCAGACCCATCAAAGGAATCATTGTCTGTGGCAATATAGCCTACAAAATATATTTCTTAAATAATAAGGTTTGGAAATTGAATTACTCATTGATCCATGGGCTGCAGAATGGATATTACATTAATGGGTTTGAAAACAAAATTAACCGGGCTCGGTGGCTCAGCCTGTAATCCCACACCTTTGGGAGGCTGAGGTGAGTGGATTGCCTGAGCCCGTGGGTTCGAGATCCGCCTGGGTAGCGAGACCTCATCTCTACAATAAATCAAAAATCAGCCGGGTGTGGTAGCGCGCGCCTGTAGTTCCAGCTACGTGGAAGGCTGAGGTGGAAGGCTGAGGTGGAAGGATCGCCGGAGCCCAGCAGGTCGAGGCTGCGGTGGCCGGGAGCGGCCACTGCACTCCAGTTTGGGTGACAGAGTGAGACTCCAACTCAAAAAAAAAAATAAAACAAAATTAATCTCCTTGTACAGAGCTCTTGGGAAACCAGGTATATTGTCAGTGAACAGTAATATTTTGAAAAGAATCTTTTTTTTTTTTTTTTTTAGATTGGAAAATACAGTTTATTTAGAAAGTAAATTAGAGAGAGAGGAGAGCATCTCCCCAAGGTAGGAGAGGGAGCCAAAGCTAAGAAAGCATGGTGGCTATTGCTCAGAGAACACATGGCCTGGTCAGTGTTTTACAAAACAATGGCCCTTCTTTTTTTTCTTTTTTTTCTTTTTTTTTTAAATTTGCTGAGCAGTAGGTCTCAACAGTCAGTTAAAGTAGTCACTAAATTATGCTATAAGCAGATGTGCTGTCATTCAGGCTTTGTTGTTTCATTTGTTGGACATAGGCAAAGTAGATTTATAATAATTTTTAAGGGCCTCAGAATTTTCAGATGATAAATGAACATTGGCTTCAACTTAATGTCATCAGCTTACTTACCCTGTAACAAGAGAGTCAGCCTGTCCTTTAAAATTTTGAAGCTGGTCATTGACTTTGCCTCTTTGGCTTTGAAAGTCCTAGATGGAATCTTCTTTCAATATTAGGCTGTGTCTACATTGAAAATCTGTTGTTTAGTGTAGCCACCTTCAACTGAGTGAGACCAGTTGCCCAGGCTGGTCTTGAACTCCTAGGCTCAATTGATCCTCCCACATCAGCCTCCTGAGTAGCTGGGATTACAGACTTGTGCCACCACACTAACTAGAATGTATATCTTTATTTCTGATAACAGAATAACTGAATATTAACTGAATATTAAAGTATTAATTCAAATGGACCCTCCTCATACTATGAATGTTAACACTGATATGACATGATGGTAATTTATACAACTACATGGTCTCTGATCATGCTTATTTTCTAGTATACCAGGCTTCGCTACTCCTATCTGCCCTATTGGGCTATTATCTAACAGATCCAGATTTTAATTTTAATTTTGCTCCTTTTGCATACGTTTATTTTTAAGACACAGGGTCTTGCTCTGTTGCCCAGGATGGAGGATAGTGATGTAATCATAGCTTACTGCAGCCTTGAACTCCTGGGCTCAAGCAATGCTCCTGCCTCAGCCTCCCACGTAGCTGAAACTACTGGCATCCACCACCACACCTGGCCTTTGGTTTTTCCTCTTTTTTTTTTTTTTTTGAGTTGGAGTCTCACTCTGTCGCCCAGACTGGAGTGCAGTGGCCACTCCCGGCCACTGCAGCCTCGACCTGCTGGGCTCCGGCGA